GAAGTTGGTATCAGAGCCATACAGTAAAACTGTCACAGTTACAACAGTAGAACTGTCCAACAGTGAAACTGTGTAAACAGTTAAACTGTCAAACAGTAAACCTGTTCTTTTTACATCAATGAGTTGTAAGAGATACAAGTTACATCTTGACTAGCGAAACTAAGTTAAATTTACATCCTAGAAAGTTGGTCCGAGAGTTAAGGCAAGAGACAAGTGAACGCCTATTGCAAAGTACCGCCAAGGCCAGGAAGAGCCGCTTAGGGAAAACGCTGGGCCACTGAATGTCCAGATTGTCATTATCCGCAACCTATGGATGGCAAATTTAATAAGGAATCTAACTAGTAAAAATGCAACTTCATCTCAAACACTTAGAGTAAAAAATAAAGAACAAATAGTCATCAATGACATTGAACCTCATTGTCTCATTTGTTCTTGTAAATAGATATTGCAATACTTTTCCTCCATTCGTCTGGTATTTTTTTTGTTTTCAACACCTTGTTAAATAACTTGGTCAACCAGTCAATATTGATCTCCCCCATACACTTCCAAACCTCTATCGCGATACCATTTGGTCCTAAAGTCTTTCCTATCTATATCATCTTCAAAGCTTCTTTTACTTCCGATGTCCTAATCATACGAATGTATTCATAACCTTCACCTTCATTTATGCCAACCATCGCTTCTATTGTTGTGTTCCCATTGTGTTTTTTATTTAATAATTTTTGAAAATAGACTCTCCACCATATTAATGCATTTAATATGGTATAGATCCTTAACTCTTTCTCTCTCATTTTTGTTAATTTGAAGATATATTTTTAATTTTTTTTATTCCCAGTTTACTGTATAGATCATCATATGCTTTAAGTTTAGCCTTATTTATTATTAATTTAATGCTTTTTTAGCATTTTTATATTCTTCTAAGTTTTGATAATTTCTATTAAATTGCCAAGTTTTATAACATATGATCGTTTTCTGCTAGTAGTTTTCTGAACTTTATCACTCCACCACCGCCTTTCTTTATCGGAATTTCTTTTCCTTCTAGTTTTTTTATAAAATTTCTTTTGCCACTTTCTTAATATAATGAGCCACTCATTCCACATAGCATATTAAGTTAATTTTCTTTCTTTAATTAATTTATCGCTAAATAAGTCTATTTTTTTATTTTTTAATAACCATATATCTTACTAAATAAATAAGTATATTTTCTTATTTTTTAAATAACCACGCATCTTAATGGACAAAATGGGTGATCTCTCTCTTTCTCTCTCTCAGCTCTCTCTCTCTCTCTCTCAGATGCACACACAGTTTGAGATATTGTATTTTATGGTGCTGATTGATGTCAAAAGTGGATGCAGGACATGAAGCTGATTGTCATTTCAGACTGCTACCTTGGATTCGAGCAAGAGCACTCTCTTCAAGGGCTTACCTAATTCAAAAGAATGGTATCAGCAGCAGGATTCTTCTTCAAGGTCAGAAATTGTAACCGTTAGAGCTCATTTCAAGGACACTCACTCAAGACGAGGATTACTGGGCACAAAAGTTGGCCTAACTGAAAGCTGGGAAACCGAATGGCGGCAACGTTGCAAATCCTCAGAGAACCAATTAAACAATGCTGCAGAAAAATCAGAGAGGAGAAATCGGAGAAACCCCGTGTCCTAGCGGGCATGTGTAGAAATGGTAAACATTGTATTCCATGCATGTAGTTTCTGCAATTGCTTGCATTTTTTTAGGTGAACATGTATCTCAAACATGCTTGTGCGGCCTATTAGGAATGTATAGAGAATGTGTCGTAGTCATAAAATTTTGTTCTCCTGAAAGGGGAAGAGGTTATGTATTTACAGTGATAACATAAGGAGAGGATTGAGTTTCGTGATAAGTAAAGTCTTTCATGAAAAGCTATCCCAAACACTTATTGTGTGTTTCATGGAATTGGTACAGAAAGGCCTTGCCACTTTCCAGTAAGCTAACTTTTACCACTTCTATCTTGAGATGATTTACATGAAATAAATGCTGAAAGAAATTGACTGTATTGTAGCTTTTTATGTTTCCCCCACTGAATGAAACTTTCATGTTTTCCCCTATTGAGATGACTCCATTCACAATGTCACCCACTGCATAAAAATTTCATGCTTTCCCCTATTGAGATGACCTCATTCACAATGTCTAGTCTCTACAATATTTTATTTTAAATTTTTTTTTTTACAAATTATTTTGACACCAAATTTTGGATGTCCACTCTTCGTAAGGTTGTACGAATAAAAATATTCTCAATAAAATAAAATTATCAAAATACCCTTAAAATTTTCCAGTGATTTTAGTTATTATATTTTATTAAAAAATGTTTTTAATATTTTTTTAAGGTACATCCTATTGAGATGATAACGCGTATCAAATTTCATATTCACATAATGTGTATAAAAAAACTGAAAATAGAATAGTCTTAGGCATCGGATCTAGATCAAACGGTTAATACATTTGATCTAAATTGGACGAATGGGGGCAAGCATAGGGAAGTATAAAAACTTTTACCATGTCAGAAACAACTAATTTTGAACAGTCTGTATCGAGTTTAATTATTGTCTTCTTCTTGACTCACTTTTTGTTGACTCACTAGTGTAGTTCTTATATTCACTAAATTCAGGGAAAGCTTTTTATGTGAACCCCACTCACATGCGAGTATGTGACCATTAATCTCAGCTGTCAGATCTTAACATATGGCTGAGATGGCTTAAGTTACAATGGCATAAGTTGGCGTTTGAGCGTTGGATCTTGATTTGACACCTCATAATGTTTTATTTTTTATTTTTATTCTATATGTCATTTTGTAGCCTAATTTGAGGCATGCATACATCTGATAGGGGTGTACAATATAAAAATAATAATAATAAAAATTAGACGGTAAAAAATTATCAAAATACCCCTAAACTTTCAGTGGCATTTTGGTCATTTATTTTCATAAGTTTTCTTCTTTTTTTTTTTTTTTTGGCTAGGTGATCCCCAAGAAGGAGAGGGGATGTCCCAAATTTCAGCCAAAATTTGTTCATAGAAAATAAATTAAATATTTTTTTTTGTGGTTGGGGTCAGAGGTGTATTGTTTTGTGATGAATATTACGAGTCCTGGATAAGCCATTTGCCTAGGTGTATTTCTTTCTCTTAGTGCTGCATACTTGAAACTGGAAAGGGGCTTTGCTCTGACTAATCAAGAGTAAATGCCATTTCAATGCATGTGCCACCCAAATAGGGTCAAGAAATGATCGTGAATATTTTCAAAAAAAAAAAAAAAACTCCATTGAACGATAAAATTACCAGAGGGTCCAAACCTGACAAATGTTCGGTTTTTAAGCCCATATTGACCCCATATCTTGAAGGGTGTGGTTTGTGTAGAGCTGAGGCTCTAAACAATCAAAATAAAGTGCACTTTTAAATAGTGTCTAGAAATGTAGTTTCAATACTGAAATCTTTGTGATAGCTTTAAAATATATTTTTATCTTTAATTATAAAATTAAAAGTTTAAAAAATAGTGGAGATCAAACATATCTATGAAATCTTGAAAATCTTCATGACATCGAGATGATCAATTTGAGAATATTTGAGCATTAAAACCTCTTCTAGTGAAATTTTTGAGGTGGGCTCTAATTTGATTGTTTAGAGCTTCTGCTCCATATAGACTTCTTCCTATCTTCAAATAGGTAAGTTGCGGGATTAGAAAGGCCTGTCCTTATTGCAGAGATCTATTAGTTACACCCTAGAATAAAAGACTATCAAAATACACTCAAAAGATGAACTATCGACATTGCAAAAGTTATCAAAGGGTCAATTTTATACTACAAAATTACGGGGCACCTCAAAAATTTGCTTGAAAAGGTTTTTCTGATACCGAAAATCCCTCCAATTGATCATCTCGAACTCCAGAGAAAAAAGGGGATTTCAAGTCTTGGAAATAATACATATTGATGGTGAATTTGGGAATCATGTCTTTATTCATTGCTATGTTGCTTCGAGATTATGGTATCGGATATTTGGTTTACTTAGGGTTCATGTTACTTGCGTAAAAATTTGCCTCAACAAAAAATTGGCCTTGGAAGATTCAAATATTGGGCTTTTGGAACATGTTGCATGGAGCACAAGGGGTGGCAACGGGGATCCGGGCCAGACCCGGACCCAAACCCAAACCCGAAAAAATTTATGGGACTTGAACCCGGAGCCGATCCAAAAATGAAAACAAAAAAATATGTATATATATATATTTTATGTTGAATATATACTTGCATTATCTAAAGAAAAAGTTTATACAAGTTCGAGGCTCTAAACAATCTCAAAAATTTCAGTGGAAGATGCTTTTGATGCGAGGAAAGAGCTGATTAAGGGAAGAAGACTGAAAGGAGAACAAGAGTGAGAAAGAGCCAATGAATAAAGGCGCAAGAGAGAGAGCACTACGGCAAGCCAACCATTAAGGAAGCAATGAGGTTTCAAGCGACTGGTTCGTGGGGGCGTTCGCACTCGTCCTTTGGGGGAAAGGTTAGGAGCTACAAGCCCGGAGCTCATGATGAGTCATCTCAGGGGAGCATCAGGTTGGAGAAGGACTTTGAAGCTGCTAGCATGGGGAGTAGACCGAAGGTTATTACCATCGACCCCCAAGACTCTAAACTCTTTCTGCCCACCTATTTCGGATTTGAGCCTCTTTTAGGACTGGACTTGGGAAGCCTGTTGATGCAAGGCACCGCTGTTTGACTCCAGCGGATCGTCATCGTGACCCAATCGATTCGTTAGCCTAGATGATGGACGGGCATCCAAAATCTAGCCGTCCGTTCGTCTTCCCGCAAGGTCTGACTGACGATGTCTTTCTCCAAAAGGCTCTCTTCTTGGCTTCCTCTCCCCACCTCCGACTCTTCCTCGAAGGAGCTCTCCCTCTCCCCTAGATCCCGAAACTGACCCAGCAAGGAGGGTGTGGTTAGGGAGGAGGCCGGGGATATGATCAATGATATGGGTGTCAAGTTTAAGGGCACGATTAAAGTGGTGGAGGAGGCCCATTGATGCGCCTGAGATGGACTAGCCTGCTTCCCAAGGCCCCAGAGGATGCGCTCCCGGGTGGAGAAAGAGGTTGACGCTCTCTTGGCGGAGCTTTCATTTGACCCCTCCTCTGCAGGCTCTTCTGGAGCCACCAAGGGGAGTAAGGACTTCAGGTCAATCATGAAGGTTCTTTTCATAAGCCTCACATTTTACTCCAAGAAACTAAGTTGGCCTGCCCTCATGCCTCTTTGGTAAGGAGCTTATGGGGGTCTTGTTTTTTCTTCTGCTATGGGCCAATCTGGTGGTGGCCCTTATAGTTGTGAAGGGTTCCCTTTCGTCCTGCTCTTTCAAATGTCTGTCTGTGAAGTTCTCTGTGGACCTCTTTGTTATCTCCAATGTATATGGACCAAATGCTAGTAATGAAAAATTGTCTTTCTTTACGGAGTTGTGTTCTATTTTATCCCAGTCCCTATGGCCTTGGTGTGGTTCATTTGGAAAGAGGGGAATACCAGGATTATTTTTAAGGGAAATCTCCTGATTTCCAGTTCATTATAGATCAAGTAAGTTATCCGAGGGACCGCACAATGGATTCAGACTCTATTGAAGTTTAATCTATACCCCAAAGATTGCTTTGCTTCAAGTTTCTCGGAATTACCATCCCTTGAAGAAAGCTATGTCAGCTGCTTGGCAACCACCTCCTCTTGGCTCGCTCAAACGAAATTTTGATGGAAATATTCGACCAGTTGAGGGTGTTACGAGTTATGGTGGCCTTCTTAGGAACTATCCAATCTTGGAGAGGCTATTTTCATTCACGGTAGCGGTCTTCAGAATTGTGATATTAATGAAGCTGAGCTTCGTGCTGTTAACGAAGGGCTCAGCAAGCTTCAAAGCTGTAACTCAAGTGATTGTTGAAGGCGACTCGACAAGTGTTATTTCATAGTGCAAACACCCTTGCAACGTCCCTTGGCA